TATACTGATTTAATTTGAAAAGCTTCACTGACTTTTTAAAATAACATTCAGATGAGTGCATAAAAACAAAAAGAAAATCCATTGTTTACACGATACAACAGAAATTGGCTGTCAAACCCTTTTTAGCGTTTAGTTCACAAGTTCTAATATACTCACAACCACAGCTACAAATGGTTCTTGAAATTGCTGATTAAGCATCTGTGTACTGACATCAATTCCTGAAAGCCAACAGCCATAGCCAGGGTGGCTGTGATACCATCCAATTGCATTTTCTAGACGGCCAACCTAATCAAAAGTACAAAAAGGGAGAGAAGGAAAGAGAGCACATTGTTCAGAAGACATTTAATCAATGTAACCACTCCCTCTTTTGGATAGTTAGCAAACTGCAGATTTTATTCCAAAATGGCAATACAGTATATTGTGAGTAAGAGCTATGTTGGCTCAAACACAACCAGAACTTATTTAAAACATGACTGCTGATGAACCATTACGACTGTGTCCATGCTCAACATGCTAAGCCACAAACCACTGGTCATAAGCCACAATGTTTAGTGTTATGGCTAAGGCACAAACAAACCATATGGCTTAGTGTGACATGTGAAATCAGGAAAAATGTTCATGTATTTCAGCATTTTCCCTTCCTCCTCCCCCCATAAAGCAGATAGCCAAGCAAATGCCTCCAGGAATCTTCAAAGCACAGCAAAGTTATATATGATACTATATTTAAGTACTGTACAGAAATTAATTGGAAAAACTGATGCCTATTTTCCCAAATTCCTAGAACAATTGATATACATAAAAAGGAGAAAATCAGTGGAAAGAACATCTCTAAAAAGATAACAGAAATATAAGAAATTGCATAGCTCTTTTATGAGGAAGCTAAGAAAAGACTTCTCTGAATTCAGTTTGATTGACCTGATATTAGGTTGAGTTCAAGGGCAAGGCATGCTCAATTTAAAGATTATCATCCAAGCGTCTCCAGGTCCACAACTGAATTCAAATGACTTTAGTTAATGTTAAATTGCTAAAATGGAAGCTTATCTTCTTTTTTCACCTGCTTTGCATTTTCAATATATGCAGCCATGTATTCATATGCAGCAGCCTGGGCGTTAACTCTGGTTTCAGTGCCTTCTACTGGTAAAGCAAAACTGTCCATGATGATCATTGTTTCACCATCTACTTTCCCAAGCATTAAGCCCATCACCTCCAAGTTGCCTCCTGATCTAGCATGCATGACCATCTTCAGAAGAGCCAGAGCAGAGATCTTGCAGTACTTGAAATAATGATGGCTACAAGGAAAAGACCAAAGATCTTAAAAATGCAATGGAATTATTATAGAAAAGAAAATAAGAAAAATACAAATACTTTATTTAAGCATAACTGCTCAATTAGACATAAAATCATCAACCCATTTTAGGTCATTTAGGTCATAAGAAAAAATAAAAATCCACCATTAAGAGAACAAATTAAACATACACAAAAGTGTGAACAAGCTTTTGAAATCTCTAGAATACTTTGATAGTTGAGGTGTTACAGATAGCATAACTGGAGGTGGACACTCAGAAAATGAAGTCTGACAATTCTGAAATTATAAACATGATAAATAACCAACACCTTTACTCTCTGAGGGTTATTACCCTGCCACATGTGTTAATATTTTTCTTCTCTATTTATCAAGGAATCAGCATGCTTTACCTAGGGCTGGAGACAAATTTGAATAATATCTAAACTCTATCTACCTAAAAACAGGGAATCAGTTATGATGTATTTGTTTGTCCCAACAGCTCTTGGTATAGCCTAAAATCTGTATGACATCTGGTAAAGCCTAGCCTATTTTACATATAAGCCTTTCTCTTTCACTCCATCATAAGACTCTAACTATGCAGAGTTCATGTTTTCAACATTATATAAACTTCCTGTCCTTCCCCCTTTGTAATATTTTGGGTGATGATCCCAAGATAAGCCATTTTGTGTATATTTACATAGTCCTAATAACGGCATTACCTGACCATGGATTATATAATGATTTAACTTACCATCTGCTCACATGTATGGGACGCAGCAGGGTCTTCCCTGGAACAACTCCCTATCTACTGAATGTGCTCTCTGGAAATATGTTTGGATCCAGCACTGATGTCATTTTTTTCATAAAATGAGTATCTTTTTATTATCCTTAGCCTTTTTACTGTTCCTCACTTAAGTAATTTCATATAGGCTGTAACACATTTTATGGCTATATTGTATATATTTGTAGTCTGTATCTTTCTCGTAAGCATGCTGACAACATTGATGCAGGCTGCAGGTTTTTATTTTAAATAAATAAAATAGAACTAGATTGCAACACCACAAAATAACTTTGTCTCATAATTCAATAGATAAGCTATATAATAATATTGTGCATGGTGTGGATGTGGGAAGTTTGGTTCAAAGCACTGCTTAATTTAAGAACTATTCAGATACCTAACCTATAGAATTACCTCTAAAAAACTGTGAATTCCTTCCTTCCTCCCAACACAGGCCATATCCTGCAGTCTTTTATATATTAATATGTTATGCCTTCATATTATATGTGGATACATACAAAAATGTTTGTGTATATTACCTCCAAAAACATATTAAATAAAGGTCTTTTTGCACTGCTGAAATAAAGTGTTCTGTCCTATTCTCAAGATGACTTTATATAGGCATAAAGTATGCAATCTTATTGCCAATCCCCATCTTGCCTCTGTTTTGGCTTGCTGATCTCTAAGTGTGCTTGCTGGCAGCATTGTGTAAATGTGTAGGCTAGGCTACATGAGTTGCTTTAAGAAGAGGTGTGGCCTGACAGCAACCTCACAACCCACTGAGCGAAACACCATGAGTCCCTCAGCAAAAGTGGGGTCTGGTTGGCCAAGTTGTGCAGCTGGCCAGACTGTGCTGAACATACTCTGGGAATCTTTAACTGCTCATCTGAATATTATTTTAAAAAGTGTGTGAAGCCTTTCAAGTTAAATCAAAAGCCTTGAACTCTATGACAGGGTGCTACTGCTGAGGTGGCACCAGGCTCTCTGAGCAGAGGCAGTGGAGATCTGAAGCTTGGGCAAGAAATATTGGCCAGAAGGCTTGAGCTGCTTTAGGGAGAAAAGGAAGAGGCAGATAAGAAGGAGATCAGGGTTTGCTGCCCCTCTGCAAGGGTCTCTATGCTGGGCAAGGAGGGAAGGAGAGGCAAAGAAAGGAATAACTGTTAAAGCAGTGAAAGAGAAGGGAAAGCAAATGAGAAGAACTCCGAAGAAGACCTCTCTGCTCAGCAAGGAGAGAGAGGAAAGAGAAAAGCAGGATTTGGGCATTCTTAATAGGATGGGTTTCCTAGATTATATCATGCTAGATAACTTGAAAAAATATTGTGTAGCAACTCAATCATCATGACCAAATATTATTCCAGTGAATGACAGACACTGTCAGCTGTCTAAATGAAATATCTCTGTTTCATAATATTTTTATTTAATAAATTTATATCTAACGGCATGCTATAGTATCCTTCATTTTCCTTATTTTTAAATTACTAGAGGCATGTGTATGAATGTATGAAATGGCTTCAGTGCTATGGCCCTTGGGTTAATTCAGCACTCATGGCTATTTGAGTTAAAGACTCGTGCCTAAGGAGAAATAGAAGACTGTGGAGAACTGTGACTTTGAAAGAGCCTCTCTCTGTGAGTCATCTGATGCTCTGCAGACAGAATAATCAGCAAAGTGCATCACATTTTCTACACTTTGGAACTGCTGCAGGTTGCTGCTGGCTTAAGGAAGAAAATAGTACTTCATAACAGGAACAGGACAGCTTAGGCCTGTCTCACTCACGGGCAAGGGATGAGATGAAGGAAATGTTGCAGAAACAGGCAAAGAGGTTGCCAGGGCATGTTTGCGCCATGGTTACAGACAAGAGGGGAAAGACCCAAATACATGGGTTAGCAAGTAAAAAACTACACATTATTAAAACATAGTAGACATACCATTAGTTGTCAGCATTTGCTCGATGCTGACAACTACAATCCTCTAGTATGCATGCCTCTCTTTACCCAATGTAATTCCATCTTCACTTCACTTTCCTTGGGTTCATCTCTGGTATCATTTTCTGCTATCTGCTAACATCCATGTGAGTGCCAAGCCCTATTATTTCTACCTCCCTAGGATCTCCAAAATCCAAACTTCCATCTCCGTACTTAAGTTTAAATCCCTCACTCCTATACCCAGCTAATCACTTGCCCTGAGCAATGCAATCTTCTCTGGGACCGGGTTTCCAACCTCCCCACCCCTTCAGATCCGCCTGTCATCAGGCCACCTCTGGGGCAAGTGCACCATCACTGCTGCACCGGCCCCTTTTCCTAGCCGCGGGACCAGGCAGCAGGCTCGGCACCCGGCCGAACTCTCAGAACCAAGTCGGAGAGCGAGGAAGGCAGAGGCGGCGGGTCTTCCTATCATCCACACACCCACTTACTCCTTGGTCCATGGCTTGGCCGCCAGGATCTCTTGTTGCTGTTTGCGGTCATACTTGTAAATCTCATCGATGCTCTGTGCCTCCTGCATGTTGTTAGCCAGCTCCCACGTCTTCTGGGCCATCCCGCTCCCCGAAGGGCCGGCAGTCGCCATTTCACCGGCTTCTCAGGAGGCCGAGCCAAAGCAGGCTCTGGTTCCCGATGAAGCGCCTCGGGCAGGAGGAACCTCTCGGTCCGCCGCCGGACAGCGCAAACCGGAAGTGAGAGGGAGCAGTCGTTCCTGGGAAATGGTTCCGCCCGCTCCGCGGAGCCTCGAGCCAGCTTGCCCCCTCACGGGAAGCGGTGGAATTAGCCTCCCAAGAACCGGGGCTGTCCTCCCTTTTCGTTTACTCCGCGCGCCAAGCGTCTGTCCGGGAGAAGCACCAGGCCACCCAAGACAGTGTTTCTCAACCTCAGCGATTTTCAGATGTATTGACTTCAACTCCCAGAATTCCCCAGCCAGCATGCCATTTCCGGGGAAGCCCGGCACTTAAAGTCCACACGTCTTAAAGTTGCTGAATTCGAGAAACGCTGATCTAGGAGATCCCTGTTCTCTGGTGATAGCCTTTCCCCACTGTATTTAGATACCGGACTGGCTGATGACGGCATAGCGGCGAAGAAAGAACACACGCGGAACGGACTTTGAAAGTTTACGTCACATACGTCATCGAAAAGCTGCGGCAAATGTGATTTGGTAATTGTTATACATTTTAGCTATATCGATATCTAAATGAGACAACAGTCTTCCCAAATTTGATGCCTTCCAGATGTGTTGAGACTAGAAGAATTGTTGGCCCTGCTGGGTGGAATTTGTGCATTGTAGATGCATTAGGTGCATAAGTGCATTAACACTTATGGAGAGTATGTTTCCACTTATTCTGCTCTAAAATATTCCTGGTCCTTATCCCAGATAATTACTTAGCTTTTTTTTTTTTTAAGTTATACAGAGTGCCTCAAAATAAGCTAGCCTTTTTGATATAATAAGCCAGCTAACTTCTTCCTGTTATCATAATAACTATCATATTTTGACTTAGGTTTTTATGTCTGCACCATCCCTGCTGTTAGCACTTGGTGTATTCAGCCTCATTTATTTTAAGATAAAAAAAATCGAACACTTTCGGACCTGGCTTTCAGCTTTCTTCCAAGGAACCTGTTTGCTTTTATTTATGTTTTTTGAAGGGAATCAACATATTTCTCCGTGCCAGCTGGTTACAATCTGGAAGATCTCAGCGCCTGATCAGAGCCTACATTGCATGTCTGCAACCCACTCTCACATCCTACAGTAGCACTGCAGCGCTTTGAGGTGACAGACCATAGGCTGAGCAGTGGTAGCCACTCTTCTCACAAAGTCCTTGGCTAATGAAGTGTCCAGGAAAACACTGTTTTTTCACTTTCATCTAGCCAGTGTAGAGCCAGTTTGGTGTAGTGGTTAAGGCAGCAGGCTAGAAACCAGGAGACTGTGAGTTCTAGTTCCACTTTAGGCATAAAGGCAGCTGGGTGACCTTGGGCCAGTCACTCTCTCTCAGCCCTAGAAAGGAGGCAATGGCAAACCACTTCTGAAATCTTGCCAAGAAAACTGCAGGGACTAATCCAGGCAGTTGCCAGGAGTCAAGACTAACTCGAAGACACAAACAGACACACCCAAAAGAGGTGTTGGGAGGTCTGCTCTGCGTTTTGGGGGGGGGGGGGGTTTCTGAGCTTGCACAGAGTACGCGACAGCTGCAAACATTAGAGCCTGCCCAAAAGACGCATCATTTCCGTAACACAACACGAGACAGTATTTCCTCTGCCACCTCTCACAACTCCGGCTGCCCTTTTGACTCCAGGCAGTAGAGGGCGCCGTTGGCACACAGCATACCCCCCTGCTTTTTCGGTTCCTCCCTGAGAGGGCGGAGCGCTGTGAGAGGCTTCGGTTGAGACCGGGGAAAATCGGCGGGAGCCGCCGCTGGACCCCCCCCCGGCGCCCGGGCGTCTGCCGCGGGGGGCGGAGGGGGGGGG